ATTCACTATTCAGTACTGATGTCCCATACTCCCATTACATCCATTTTGGATCTCTGGTATTACTCTCGTCCTCTTAATTGATCTCTGTTCAGTTTTAATGCATTATTATTTATTCTTACTTCTTTTTTTGGCAATGATGATGCTTCCACCACTGTCTGAACAAATGGTATAGTGTTGCTATGTTGCTCATGTGCTATAATAACACATTTGAGCAATTTGCCACTATCCTTGCTTGAAATGGAAAATTGCAATCTGAGCCTATAAGGCTATTAGCCTAATGCCCCTACAGCATAATATTGTTACTTAGTTAGCTGTTTAGTACATAGGTTGTCTAATAATCTAATATTGTGTTAAGTTTTCATATTAACAGGAAGAAGTGTAGAAATGGTGATTGATGATTTGATGAAAAGGCCTAGACTGGATTACTGGAATGATTGCTGTCTTGCTGAAGTTTAACTTTGTTTAAGTGATTAACTTCAAATTTTTTATGTTTTGGAAGTTAAACACTTAAACTTATATTCATTTTGTATTGGTTTACTTTTTGCAATTTTGTTTGTAAACTTAAATTATTTAGCTCTGCAAACTGTCCATTAAAAAGTTGTTGCATGTTTTAGTTTGTTAACTTATTAGTTATTACTTATTTTGTTAATAGAAACTTGGTAGATTAGATATTATCATATTAAATTAATCATATTATGTTTTTTCAGTTTTTAATTTTCAATTATCAATGAACTTTTCTAAATCCGAATGTGGTCCGACATCCGATCCGAATAATCCGAAATCCGACATAGCATATCCGATAGGGTTTTAGTTTCAAAAAAGTCGGATAGGACTTCAAAATTTCAATCCGCAATCCGATCGGATGAACGGAAAAACCATCCGATCCGTCCGTTGCACAGGGCTACTGTGCAGTGACATGCATGCAAGCTCAAAAGCAACAACAATTTTATATACTCCGATCCCTCCGTCCTATTTTATGTGTCTAGTTCGATTAATGAGGTTTGACTATAGTTATTCTTAATTCAATTTTTCATAATATTAGGTTTAGTATTTATATACAAAAGAGGAAATTTCAATTTTGGTCCTACGACTATAGGGGTCTTGTTAATTTCAGTCCCTGACTTTTAAAAGTGTGAATTTAGTACCTTAACTATGTAATTTTTGTCAATTTTGGTCACTCCAGCTAAATTGCCGACCAAATTTCGCCGAAAAAACTTAATCCTTCATTTATTCTATAATCTGAGGGGCAAAATCATATTTTGATCCTTTCTCCTAATTCATTGTACTCATTCGCCGAACTGGGTTAACAGCAAATCGGACCACATTCGTTGAACCGGTTCAGGTCCGATTTTGAAGTATGCTCAGACCATCGGAGCAAGGTTCAGGTCCGTTTTCACATTCGGGTCGGAAAGAGTACTGAAATGTGGCAAGGAAGTCCACATTTCCGGGGATAGAAGAATGGGCGGCGGAACGATGAGAAAAACATCGGAGGCGGGAAGAAAATGAGTACGCATCAATGTATAGGAAGAAGGGGTTAATTCAGAGATGATTGAATCCCTTTTCTCCTTATCATTCCAGTACTAGAACACATACACATTTCTATTCAAAATTAAAAACAAAAAAAAAAAAAAACAAAACAAAACAAAAAAAAAAAAAAAAAACGGAGCTTTGACGGTTTGGGATATTAAGGTTTAACTGTGAAGCTTATGTTGTAGAATATTGATAAAGTTCTAGAATTGAGAATCACAATCGTAGAGGGAGAAGGAGGAGGAGGAAAACAGCGTACTGGAAATATTCTTTGAATTTCCGTGAGGAAATTTCCTAGAAAATGTGGTTCGATTTGCTGTTGACCCGGTTCAGCGAATGAGTACAATGTATTAAGAGAAATGATCAAAAAACGATTTTGCCCCTCAGATTATAGAATAAATGAAAGATTAAATTTTTTCGGCGAAATTTGGCCAAAAATTTGACCGGAGTGATCAAAATTGATAAAAATTGCATAGTTAAGGTACTAAATTGACACCTTTGAAAGCCAGAGACTGGAATTAACAAGACCGCTATAGTCATAGGATCAAAATTGAAATTTCCTCTATACAAAATTTATATATTTAGAAACTACACTAAAAGTACTATTAAACACAAAAAATCAAACTTAAAAATAAGTGAAAAATACTAAAGCTAAGAAAATAAACAAAGAAGAAAGAGATTTGACCAATGAATAGTAGGTAGGACGACAGATAAAATGGGACAAAGCGAGTAATAATTTATTAATAAAATATTATTATAAATGCATTTTATTTTTATTTTGCATATGTAACTTGACACTGAAAATTACCGATTTCGACTTGGATCTAGATGTACCAAAATGACAAGTTAACGTATTTAATTGTAACATTCTAAAGTTTGTAAGTCTCATTGTTTTTTTGTATACAATACGAGCATATTTGAACTTTTTACATTTTCGTAATAAGAAGTGACACATTTTGTTTAGACCCTTGCACTGCTTAAGAAAATTACAATTTACAAATATATCTTTAATTTAGAGTTAATACCCAAAATAGTCCTTCGACTATGTCGTAATTATCAATTTGGTTCTCGACTATCATTCTTACCCAATTAAGTCCTCAACTATACAATTTTTACCCAATTTAGTCCTTTGTCAATTTGACTGTTTGTTGACTGTCAAAAGTGGAAATAAAGTTGTAATTTTACAAGTTTTCTCCTTCCTCCTCATTTAGCAGCGCCAAACCATGTAGCAATAAGCTCCGGTTGGGTTCTAAACCTGTCAGTATCGAAGTAGTGGTTATGCATCGGATAGCCCATGAATTTGATTTTCAACGATTTTTTGACGATCGAAATCTGATCGGAGTGTATTGCTGCATGGTTTGGCGCTGCTAAATGGAGAGGAAGGAGAAATCTTGTAAAATTATAATTTTATCCCGACTTTTGACAGTCAACAAACAGTCAAATTAATACAGAGGACAAAATTGGGTAAGAATTGTATAGTTGAGGACTAAATTGGGTAAGAATTGTATAGTTGAGGACTTAATTGAGTAAAAGTTACATAGTTGAGTACTTAATTGGGTAAGAATGGTAGTTAAGGACTAAATTGGTAATTATGCCATAGTCGAGGGACCATTTTGGGTATTAACTCTTTAATTTATTACTTTTTTTTATTTTCAAGCCCACAAAAGGCATAAGTATGAATCAGTCATACTTATATCAGCAAGAATAATTGTATGTGTTCAGACACTTAGTACCAAAATCATGTTTGGAATTAGTGTACAACTTTTGTCACCAATGTATACATGTTTTAGCATAACATATATATAAATCAATCGATAGTTAAGGGCAAAGTTCTAAAAGGGTCGAGACTATATATTGTCAATTTGTCATGGGATCATTGTTAAAGATTGAGACTAGTGTCTCATGGTAAATATTGAAAATCGAGACTAGCATCGTAGGATAGTTTCAAGAATCAAAGATGGAATTTTTATTTTTTAACACTTCCCGTGAAATTTAAAAATTGCATGCTAATGAACTAGAAAGCACTAATGAACTATCATGCTAATTAATAATAATAATAATAATAATAATAATAATAATAATAATAATAATAATAATAATAATAATAATAATAATAATAAATTTAAAATTTTAGCATTTTTGTTGGGGAGGAGATCACATGTATACGACTTATATGCAATTTTGTTGGCTTTTGATGTTAATTTATTCACCATAAGTACGGAATACGTTCAAATATTAGAGGTTATGAAAATAAGATGCACAATCAATAATTCACTAATTTTTTTTTTTTTAAATAAATTGCTTACATCAAGTTGTTCCTAAGGAAATCATGGTTAAAGAATGCTAATGTAAATTATGTAATATAGATATAGATGAGCTAAATGGGCTCCACCAAAACTCAATTAAATTTGTTTCATTAGGTAAGGTGCGGGTACTAGCGGCAAATTATATCGTGCATCGCGGTGCATAATTGATTATACACCGCGCATCAAAATGATGCTGTTTTGTTAAATGAAAAGAAATGACATTTGTTTTTTGTCGTTTTGCACCCTTCCGCAAAAAATAACCTTGTTATTCAGTTTCATTTTGTATATACTGCAGTTTCAGTTCAACACAACTACAGTTTCATTTCAATATAACTACAGTTTCATTCGATATTTATAGACTCAAATATGTGAAAATGTTATTTAATTTTATTTTATATACACTATAGTTTTATTAAAACACAACTACATGATCATTTTGATATAATTACAGCTTCATTGTACAATATACACTCAAATATGTGAAATGTTATTCAGTCTCATTTTATATACACTGCAGTTTCATTTCACCAAAACTACAGTATCATTTTGATATAACTGAAGTTTCATTTGATAATATAAAAATAATACGTGAGGCAGTGTCGGTTTAGATGTATTGTAGTGTCAGTTGGTGTTTAATACATCAAACATGTGGACTACGTTAACTATAACGACATGCCGTTTCTTTACTTAAAGAAACGGCGCCGCTTTTTACCGCGGTCTACGATATCTAAATGGACCTTATGAAAGATTAGGGTGCGGCATGAATAATCTCATATAGCTAGTGCATTTTGCAAAATAATAATAATAATAATAATAAATAACAACAACAATAATAATAATCCCGCACCATGAACTATATGAAATTATTCATGCCGCACCCTAATCTTTCATAAGGTCCATTTAGATCCACAAATCATTAATTTTTTTTAATAACAATTTTCACAGGTTAACAGGTTACTATGATGACATGACACAAGTTAGTAGCTGATATGGACCGTCTTTTTAGTCAACCCCAAATTTTTAATAAAATCCCCTGAATCAAAGTGTCTCGTGTTCCATTTCTCAGGGAACCTCGGTGGGTGTATACGACGATCGAGAGAGAATCAATGGCCCCTATCGTAGTTAACGACGTTATCCCGGACGCAACTTTGTCCTACTTCAACGAGCAAGATCAACTTCAGAATGTGTCCATCCATTCTCTCGCGCGCAACTTTGTCCTACTTCAACGAGCAAGATCAACTTCAGAATGTGTCCATCCATTCTCTCGCAAAGGGCAAAAAGTTCATTCTCTTTGCCGTTCCGGGGGCCTTCACTCCCACTTGCAGCATGAAGCACGTGCCTGGGTTTATTGAGAAATCCGAGGAGTTGATCTCAAAGGGCGTTAGTGAAATTCTTTGCATCAGTGTGAACGATCCCTTTTTGATGAAAGCTTGGGCAAAAAATTACCCCGACAACAAACATGTCAAGTTCATAGCCGATGGATCTTGCAAATACACCCAGGCTCTTCTTGACCTCTCAGAGAAAGGGCATGGCACCCGATCTAAAAGGTTTTCACTTTTGGTTGACGATCTCAAAGTGACTGTCGCTAATATCGAATCTGCTGGGGAATTCATTGTCTCTGGTGCTGATGAAATCCTCAAGGCTGTCTAAGATTGTTGCTGCGATATGATTGCTGGATTTGCTGCTCTGTTTAGTTGCTATGCAATTATGAATGGCCTTTCCCCTCCTATCTTTTTGAAATAAAATGACTTTGCTCCTAAAAAAATAAAAAAAAATCCCCAGAATCAGATGCCTCACGCAGCCACTCCCCTGCGCCTCCAGCCACGCTGGTTCTTCGTGAAACAAGAAGAAGAAAATGGTATGGATATGTCGTGGTTCCAGATTTAACCGGTTTCAAGCTAAAGCCCTACATAGGCTGCCAATTCTTCTAAATAATATCAGTAGGAAGTACACAATTCATACACTGATCATGCTTCACTTCATTTTGCTCTTTCCTCTGAAACATTTCATCGCACACTCTCACTATATTTTCTGAATGCATTCCCCTAATACATTAGATTACTTGATCCCTAAAAAAAAAAAAAAAAAAAAAAAAAAAAAAAATCCATTGTTAATAAGCTAGGGCGGATTTCGGCCAAAAGCCGCATCCCAATCTTGATATGCAGTCTTCGTATTCCCCGGAAAACCGTCGCGGCTCTACAATAAAAGAGGTCGTTTTTCACTGTGGGTCCATCTTCCCACCGGTGTTCGTCGGGAGCCCGGTGGCGACGAGCCTCTGGTCGGAGTCCAACTGCACCCACGAGCCTCTGCTAATCCTGTCCCTCCTGCACCTGTAGCAGCAGCGCTGAAGAAGGTTTAGAAGAAGAAAATTAAAAATAAAAGTCTATGACAGCATAGATTACCGGTAACTTGTAGGTAACGTGCGAAAATTGTTGGATGAAAAAAAATTAATAGTTTGTGAATCTAAATGGACTTTATGAAAGATTAGGGTGCGGCATGAATAATCCGACATAGTTTATGGTGCGAGTTGACACTTTAGCCTAATAATAATAATAATAATAATAATAATAATAATAATAATAATAATAATAATAATAAAAATAATAATAACCTTTCTATATAATAAAGCCATATCATCTTGGCCAATCACAAAGTAGCATTTTCCCGCCTAATGTGAACACATTTTTTTTTTATAAATAGAGAATTTATTTATTTATAGATAAATAGAGATAGAGATTTGTCAGATATCCTCTAGGAAAGAATATTCTAGAAAATAGTCTATTTATTAATAAGTTTTTTTATATCTCCAAGGAACAAATAATTACAACATGTTATTTTCAAAGAGTCTTTTCAGTTTTCAATGAGTCTTTTCAATTTTTTAGATAGTAATATATATAGTGACATTTGGGTCTTCAGATTTTGCCGAGCTTTAGATGTATGAATGAATGAATAGTGCGTGGCGGTAGCCGAACTCAAAAACGACGGAAAGGAGCCAAAGAATCCGAGAAGGCGGCAAGCGTTAGAAGGACGATGTGGGGAGAAAGACAACATAGGGAGAAAGAGAACAGAGACGAGCTGATATACTAGAACGAGGGAGCCGATGGAGACGTTGGCGGTCGCCGGTCGCTCTGCTCTGGGCGTCTCACTTCTGGCAGTCAAGGTGAGAGTATGAGAGACAGAGGTGAGACTTAGAGGCAAGAGGGTGAGAGGCTGAGAGTGAGAGAGGCGAAAGGGTGAGAGTCTGAGAGTGAGAGAGGTGAGAGGGTGAGAGTCTCCTCTGGCTTTTTATATGTATTTTTTTTTTTCCTGAGACCACCGAGATTGAATGTTGTGTAGTAAAAAGATGTCTCTTTGATGAATTTTCTTTCATAAGGCTCCAAGAAGAAAACATTGAATAGTAGTTATACTGTTATAGTATGCAAACTGGAACAGACTGTATTTTTCGAACGATTCTGAATATTTAAATTGTTTGAATGTAGGTGGTTGTTCTTTGTAGACAATTGTGCCGTGGATGGTGTATATATGGTTTCAGTTTTATGTTTTAATAATATTGTGGTCACCGGATACATTATGGTTTTTTATATGCTATATATATGGTTTTTTTTATAGACATAATATTGTGCATGATTCATTGTTTGTTTTATCTGTTTTATAGATTTTATATATATGTTTATTTTTGCATTATTTTTGTATTCACTGATGCCTGATTCATTTTTTATTTTATCAGTCTTTACTGCTATTTCAGGGACTAGAAGGTAAAAGCAATTACTTTAATTTTAGGTCCACAAGTGTGGTGAAATGAATCAGAAGTCTCTAAGTTGATCGTTTTAGATATAGTTTCATGTTTTTTAGTACTAATATAGTAATATGTATTATATATTTTAAGGGTATATGCTAGTTCCTCGGTTTTGTTCGCAATCTTATCAAATTTAGTTGGCAGATTATATATATTCTCGATTAAAGCGTAGATTATGTGATGAATTTGTGAACAAATGATAGCATCATTTAATTAAAGAACACTTTTCTACAATAATATAAAGTTTCGGATAATGAAATTAGTATGATCTTAAGAATGGTTTGACGACATTCTTAATAGTGATAAAAACTGAATCAATGGGATAGAAAATCACATGTATACATTAGACATGTTTATCAAATCACATGTATACATTAGACATGTTTATGAGACTAATTACAACACTTTTCATATTTCTAAAGTAATGATGAATACACATAATAAATAAAATGTTGAGGTGTGTGATTAGTTTAAAAACATTATTGGATGAAAAGGTGTTGAAGCCGGGACAGATGCATAAATTCTTTTTCTTATGAAGGTCACCACATCCAATGTTTGCATACAAAGTCATGTCTAGATTTTAAGATTCTATACTTATAGAATTATATATTTTCTAAGAAAATTGAAATTAGTTTTCAATCTCATTTGTATTATATAATTTTTATTATAAATATTACAACAATACTTCACAGTTTCTTAGCTAATGAATTATTATAGGGTATCAAAATATGATTTTCATCATCTGCCATCATCTATTTATTGGTTAAGTTTTTTCTAAATTGAAAAATAATATGAATTATATTCATATATTTTTTATACTGTATTTAGCATTATTATATAAACTTTAATTTCTTGAAGAGTAAGTAATTCAAGGGGATTAAAAATTTTGATTTGTAGCGATAAAGGACAATCTGTGAGTACGACTAAAAATATTGTATACTAATTTTTTTTATTTAATAATGTGTAATACAATTTCAATGTTAATTGTTATTAAATAATTTACTCTGTATAAATTTTTTTCATTTTTATTATTATGTTATATTGTTTAATTATATTATTATTATTATTATTATTATTATTATTATTATTATTATTATTATTTATGGCCGTGCATCACACGGGTGCAAATACTAGTAATAATAATAATAATAGTAGTCGTAATAGTAATAATAACAATAATAATAATAATGATGGAGATTTTTTATTTTGGGTCAGAGGAGTCCGCAAGCTATCAAGTGGTTAAGTATATCAAGACAGACACTCTTCAATGTCAAGAGATCGAGGATACAATATTTTATGATATAAATATATTGGAGTACTCACTACAGTTCATAGAATTAAATTGAGTGTAAAATTTATTTATCTGTCAACTGTCAATATAAAAGCTTGAGTTTTTTCATTGCCGAATCTACACATATATTTACATCACAACAAATATGGTTTAACAAACAGATCAGAGATAATACCCAAAATAGTATCTCAACTATGTCATAATTCTTAAATTGGCCATAGACTACCAAATCACCAAAAATAATTCATCGACTATGCAAAATTTACTCAATTAAATTTTTGATGAATTGATAATTGATGACCAATATAAAAATTCCGAAATAGTCATCAAGGGACCATTTTAAATATTATCTTGATCAAACACCACACCAAGTCTCGTGACTATTTTGCTATTTTCATTTTATGATTTAATTAAGTTGCACCATGGTTATCTTTGGACTTCAATTTCCCTCAAACCTTATTTGAAAGTTGAAACAGTAATCTTTTATTATTATTTTGAGTACTATTGACTCTGTTACATGTACTATATATTCATATTCATCAACACCATAACCTCCCATTTGAAAGAATCACTCCATATTGTTTGACCACAAGGTCTTTGGCGTTGAAACAATAATCTAAACAACCAATATTAAAGGATAAACACAACTTTAAGATAAGATAACACAAAATCCAAATAAGCATGCAATACAGTATAATAGAAATCAATTAACTAGAAGGTCAGGATATTATATTTGGGAGAAGGATATTATATTCTTGCCACCACTTTATTCGTCAAATTTTTCGTACTGAATTTTACAAGTTATTATGCATGAATAGAGTTTACCTAATGCGCAATCATTAAATAGTGTTTACGATTTCACTCGTCATTAAAAAAAATTAATAAAACAGAAAAGAGCATACATGTATACAAATTGAAAATCATGCACAGTACAATTAGATAAACTATTTTTTAAAACTTCCAAATAATGCGTAATAATTGGCCCATCATTCTAACCATGTTACAATTCCACAATTATACCAAATTGGGAATTTTAATATACAACAAAAGCATTTAAACTCTCATGTTCATACTAAACTTCCATTTTTTAAATGCAAGTATCATATGATGTACGTACGGTTGTAGTATTGCAGTTATATATATGTTGTTGTACATATCATTGTCATCATCATCATCAAGTCGTCGACCTACACTGAGCCACAAACTATTTGATAAGTGTTTCTTAACCTTTCAAAACCATTGAAAGCCCTTTGGGGATATAATGAAGCACAATTTTAATATAATTATCACAAAGTCTTTGGATGATTGATATTATTTTAGGGTTTGATTACTGATTAAATTAAACACCCTATTCAATTATATCCCTTTTAGAGGGCAAATTAAAGGGTTTGACTATAGCACTCTGTGGACCATAACATAAAGTACATTTTTAATCTACTAAAAATATATTATTTGTGTATTGAATGTACATTATACAAAAATGTACTTTCAATTCTCAAATAATGTACTTTTCTTAAAATACACTGTACATTTTTATTATGTTAAAAGTACATTATTTGTGTCGTAATGTATATTATTTGATAGTATGATCCATACAGAATTGTGGACTATGATCCATACAATAATGATGGCTAGCTTTTAGAGATAGTTGTTCTTGAAACTCCACCTTGGACTGCAATTTAATTAATATATGTGGCGGGGGGCGGGGGGGTGGTGTTGCGATTTGTGATCCTCTATTTTTTTTTTATCAGTTTTTAATTATCGTTACTATTATTAAAAAGTAAAGAGAAAATTTTTTAGCCTATTATATATTCAAAATTCACGGAAATATATTTAGTTTAAAACAAAAATTTAATAATAAAAACTAATTATTCCGTCTATATTAGTGGATGAGATTATATTATTTAGGAACAAGTATTAAACGCTTATTATTACGTTAAAAGTTAGAGTTAGTAGCAAATACACAACTTTAATTTCATATACTTAGCTTGCGCATTAGTTATTGCCACATTGCAATGTCAGGATGCTGGTTGATCGAACTCGTCCTTCCAAACCTCTATCTACCAACAACTAGTAGAGCGGTCCAAATATGCTCAAGATTTTTTCTCAATGGACTCGAATTAAGCCAGAAGAGGTTCTTAAATGATAGACTTAAAGGCAACGACAAACATTATCTTGTAAAAAACATGGAATAAACTCAAAAAAGAGTCAATAAAAAAAGCTTATCGGTAGATCGAGGTTCTAAATTCAGTAGATAATTGATTAGGGCATACAGGAGGAATAACAACCGACATTTAATCAAAACTACCAAAAGCAATAACATTGACAGCAGATTATACTCAAACGGTATACACCTAACATTGATAAAGGCCATGATCAACAAAGAAGTATCTATTGGCAAAATACTTAACTAAAAGAACTAAGTTTACTTGTAGTCTCCTTTCAAAAAAGTTTACTTATAGTCTCTAGCAGAGATGACTATAGTTAAAACCAACAAATATTGCTAGGATCGAATCTTAGCAGGGATAAATCAACAAGATCTTATTCTATAATTCCCAGAAAACATAAGTATGAGGGCATAAACGACGAATGTATGCTAATACATTTACTGGAAAAGAATTATTGTGCTCAAATATTAAAAAAGATGCACATCATTTAATGATGAGAGCGTGTAATTAATAAGGGCCGTAGTGATATTCGTTATGTTGGGCATAGAAGCCGTTGTACCCTTGAGTATAAATATTAGGGTGCTTTCCACGAGGAGGACTGCATGGAGTTTAGGATACCAAGAAGTGCCGGCATGGGTTTAGGGCAAATTATGCTGTGCATCCATGGTGCGTACGGATGCAAAAACGACGTCGTTTTATTAAAAACGCGTGTCTTACTTAAAAAAAAATTCAGTTTCAATTATCAGCAACAACATTATATTGTGCATAATTTGAACTATATATCCATAATCGATGAACTAAAATTCCAGAATCGATGAACTAAAATTTCAGAATCTATGAACTAAAATTCCAGAATCTATGAACTAAAATTCCAGAATGAGTGAAGTAAAAATCCATAATGAATGAACTAAATATCCATAATGAATGAACTAAATATCCATAATGAATGAACTAAATATCCATCATGAATGAAAAAAAATCAGTTTCGATTCACGTCTAAATATCCATAATCAATGAACTAAAATTTCAGAATCTATGAACTAAAATTCCAGAATCGAAACTGATTTTTTTTTAAGTGGGATGCGTGTTTTTAATAAAACGATGTCGTTTTTGCATCCGTATGCACAACATAACGATTCAAATATTAGACCCTCTAATAGACAAGAGGACACACTAAAACTTTTACTCAGACTTTGAAGCAATACAGTTATGTTTACTCATCACAAACATACCCGGTAACATACTTATGATCAGGTAAATTAGAGATATTACACAATAACATGAATGATTTTGACCATAGTTCTACATTTTTGGCTTGCGAAAACTAACACCCAGCAGTTACCAATATTGTTGGTTTTAATGATTTACTCAACATAAAACTCAAAGCACAAAATACTGCAGATAAACAGTGTGAATTGAATCGTGGATAAATTTAATGTGTATTTGATTCCAAGAATATAGAGTTTGGATTGGATAGTTCAGGGAATCATCAGAAGCGGTCAGGCGTGACATTAGGCGGCGTAGCAGCCGGAGCGACGCGTTTCCCCCGCTCAGAGCGGCTGTTCTCGGCGAATTTGAGGCTGTTTTGGTGCATACCTTTCTGCTTTTCCTCCTCGTTCCATTCAGAACAATAATAATGCTCTTCGGTTCCCCTCACAGCATCCTTTGACGCAGGGAAAAACATGCCTCCCCATTGCGGGAAGTGGACCAGAGTCACCGGAAGAGTGCACGCCATGATCATTATCCCCATGTACGACAGCCCCGACGCCGTCGAGAACTTTGAGGTCGAGAAGAATATTAGCTGCGTCAATCCGGACCCGAAGTTGCCTCCAGCGCCGGTCAGCCCCGAGATGATGCCCAACGACCGCCGGGAAATGAAGGGTGTGATGCCGAAAGTGGCCCCGCAGGCCGCCTGAGCTCCGATGGAGAAGATGATCATCCATGTCACGGCTAAGGGAAGCGTATTCGCCCGCCCCAGAAGGAAGCAGAACAGTCCTCCCATCGTTTGCAAGATCCATAAGGTCCATAGCCTCCCCCTCATTCCGAAGAACTTCGCGGCGTAGTCGGACGCAAATCCTCCGAACGGCCGCGCCACCAGATTCGCCATTCCAAAGGTCGCCGCAATTATTCCAGCGGTGTGGAGCTTTAGATCAAACCTGGAAACACAAAATTTAAATTAACTACACAAAATCTTAACATACTAAAAATTACAAATAGGTAAACTAATCAAGAATGCCAATAAATTACTTTCTTTCAGAGAAATCTATAATAACCAAGCCAAATTGTCTCCAATCTAAAAATAATTAACATAATTTTAACAGAATCTGAATTAGCCTTATCCTGTCTTGAAGATACTAAATGAAAAACACCTATACCTACAAAAAATATATATATAAAGTAAAACATAAAATAAATTAAAGAAAGAAACTAACCTGTCAAAGAAATACTCAGCAATGACATTATCAGTTGACAATTCAACACCCATAGAATATCCATAGAGGAGGGCAAAGATCCAGGTTCTGTAGTTTGTGACGGCGTACCAAAACACCTTTGAAAATTTGTCTTTGTTAATGTTGCCTTTCTTTTGTAACGATCCTAAGTTGCCGTCCGGCAAGTCTTGGCCGAGGGTGAGGACCAGAATTCCCATCACGACGTGAAGCCAACCCGGAATGAAGAAAGCGATCCTCCAGGCGCTGAACGGAGTTGCCCCGGCTTTCCGGATTATGTCGTAAAGAACCGGCATTAGAAGCTGGGTGGCGCCACCTCCCATATTCCCCCATCCCGCGGCGGTCCCGTTCGCAAGCCCTATGATTTTGCTGTTGAACATGGTGCTCATCCAGTACTGGCAGGAGACGAAGGTGGCGAGTGAGAATCCGATCATGAACCGGACCGCCACGTAGCCGCCGGCGGAGGACACAAACGACATGCAAAACACGGTGGGGGCAGTTAACATGATGAGAAAAGCGCATCCGTAACGCGGGCCCAGGAGATCACACACCGCGCCCATCACCAGCCTGGATAAAATACTCCCGGAGACGGAGGCCACTCCGGCGTTCCCAATGTCGGACTTAACCAGATTAAGGTTGTCGCGGATGATAGGAACAAGCGGAGCGGCGGCGAACGTGGACACGAAACAGGTGAAAAAAGAGATCCATGAGAGGTGGAAAGTTCTCATGTGGGGATTAGCTAAGGAGAAGAGCTTGAACACTTTGGCTTTGTGCTCTGAATCCACCGGCAGAGCAAATTTCGCCGTCGTATCAGTGGGCACAATCGGGGAGGCCACGGCGAAAGACAGAACCGGCTCTCTGCCGGTCACTCCATGCATGGAGCTTCCAGGAGAACCTTCTATATCCGCCATTAATGTCTTTGAATTGTCTCTTCGAATTGAAATTAGTACTATTTAAGGATACTTAAAAGCAAGGGATTATTAGTCTGCTGAATCTTGGGAAACAATGACCGTTTATATAGGGATTAAGCGTTGACATTGGGAACTTGTCTATATAGCCTATGGAGATTCCAGTGGCTAAAAGACAACATTAAAAAACATATATATTGATCCACTTGAGGATTCCATATTCGCCACATCTCAGCTCATTAGTCATCGCCAACTGGATTGGGCTTCTGAATATCCCAAGAATCAACTACATTGTAATTGGTTCTTAACTTTGTTTAATTAGATACTAGTATTTTCACCCTGCAGATTTGTTGTAATATTTTAAGAATATTTGAATAGATATATAATCATTTAAATTAGAACATTATAAATATTATATAGTGCAACTAAAGATATGATTTGGATCGTTTATGTATTTTGATGTTATCATTGTTTGAATTTGTGTGAATAATTGCTCAAATTAATAGCTAATGTCTAGATATACACATGTGGTGCTATAACTTTGAAGATTTTATTTA